GATAATACTACATGAGCTCAGGATATGGCCCATTTCACTCTCCTGCAAGCAAGAGTCTCTGGATTCAGTCTCCAGTACTACACACATACACACAAAGAAATTACTCCATGTAATATTAATAATATGTAGTTATATTCCCATTATTTTGTGGTTACTAGGAAGCACAGAGTAACATATGCACCTCTTTAGTGCTGACTAGAATTGGCTATTTTCCTCAGGGCTAGTCTTCCATTGAGCTATATCTTCAGCACTAAAAGTATTCTTAAGCCATGACTTTATTTGTATCAGATTTTCTTATGGCCTTGCTTTATGGCTCTGACCTTTGGGAAGAAGGGGCAATTGAGGCAGGTTAATTTTTTTACTGGACTTTTTATAGTACTGGAGACTGAACCAAGGCCCTTGCACATGTACTACTGATCGGCCCCTCCATTTTAAAAAATGTTTATGTATTGTGTGCATGATGTGTATGGGGTACTTGTGCCATGGTGCACTTGTGGGGGTCAGAGGGCAAACTTATGGAGTTGGCTCTCTCCATCAATCTTTGTGGGGGTTCCAGGATGGAAGCCAGGTTATCAGGCTTCTACAGCAGATGCCTTTACTGTCTGAGGCAACTTGATGGCCCTCTGCCCATCTTCCGCCTTTTAATTTTTGTCCAATCCATGTTTTACTAAATTGCTCAGGCTATTCTTGAACTCATTCTGTAATCAGGGTAAGTTTTGGAGTCTTAAACTCAAGCCTCAGCTTTCCAGGGACTATAGGAATTACAGACTTTTATCACCAAGTCTTGAACATTTTTGCCTTTTAAAATAATTAATTCCATGTCCACATAGAGGGACAATACTCCTCCCAGAAGACATAGGCTAACAAGTAAAAACCCAGTGATGCTGTGAGACATCTCCCCTGAAATTGTTGGTCAAGGGGAGCCCAGAGAACCTCAAGACAGTTCAGGCTGTTGCTACCGTTCTTGGCTATCCATCAGAAGATGACAGTATGGCCATATTGTTGAAGACAGCATGCTCTTTGGCCATAGGACTCGAAGAAATCAAGTCAGTACTGGCCAGGAACCTTTTTCTCTGTTGGTTAGCTGTCATAGGATGAAACGGTGCTGTGTAGGATGATTCAAGAGTACACTCCTCAGTAGTCTTGATATGAACCTAGAAGGCTGTAATAAGGACTCTCCTGGCAGGAACATGCGTTCAATAATGGCATCAATGTTATGGGGTAACCAACACCTGTCTCATCTTGATTTGAGGCCTTCTCCACTGGAGAAAACCCAAAACTGGCACTATAAATCTTGTGGCTACGAAGCTCATAGACTCTGGAGCCAAACTTATTACTTTTATTTTGTTACATGGAGATAGCACCAAAAATGCAAGCTGAGTGCATATCCTTATACCGATAGATTAGAGAAGGGGAAGAATGATTGTAAGGCCAGAGATCCAGGTAAACAGGGCAAAACAGTGTCCTCTAGACAGTGCAGGATCCCTACATTCACAGTAGCTGTGGTTGCCTGCACCAGACTTTCATAAGACTAACGCAGTCAGCATTCCAGCACGGTTGGGGAGGACACATGACTGTCCCCCCAGCTGAGAAACAGTTAACAATTGCCAGGGAAAGGAGAGTTAATTTTCTTTAGAGATGTGATCCTTGGTAGTTTGAGCATGCTCCAGTGGATGATCCTACACCACCCTTATATGAACAGCATACACAGGACTCCGTGGAAGATACGTGTAATATATGATATTGTCACGCCACCTCTTGCGGAGTCCGTGTGGTCTCTCATGTAGCTGTGGCACAAGCTTCAAGGAAGCATGCCCAAGGAGAAGGTGTGTGTGAGTGCTGTGCTTCCTGCATTGGAGCCCTTGCACTCTTGGCATTACCTGCTTATGTTTTAGGGAATAGAGTCTGGTTTCTTCTGGAAGGGAAGACAGTGTGTTTAAGTTTCCACTCTACTGATGAGCCACTGCCATATACAGGAGGATATGATGCTAATGGAGGAAGATGGGTGAACATTTGGCAAAAAGATATCCAGGTTTAATCTGGTGCTTAGTAAATAAAGACCAAAGGCAAACTTAATAAACAATTAAGGTAGATTGGGCAAAGATGGGATAAAAACAAAAGAGATAAATGCCTGTAATGTCTTGAGACTGGTTTTGGGGAGGGTTTGAAAAGGAGTTAGAAATGTGGAGAAGGAGAAGTAAAGAAGTTCTTTTGCATAGATTGCAGAAACATAAAAAGACTGTAGACGGTGTGACTGTTAACCACAACTACTTGCCCTTAGCTCAAAATGTCATGAACTCATAGCCCAGATAAAGATTCATATTGAAACTAATGCCAAGCAACGTCTACCATGATCAACTGCAGACTCACACTGGGGACATCTGTCTGACGAAAATCTATTCTCATGTATCTTGTATTCTAAGAATAATCTGCACTGCATGAAAAAACAGTACACACTGTTGTGCAATCTTTTCTGTATAAGGGATGAGCCTCATGCCTAGTAAAGATGCATTCAGGTGCAATTACTTTGAGTCTCGTGTCTGTTATTTTCTGACTCCTTACCCACCTATTCCTGAGACCCTGTCCTATCAGTCCCAGTGTCCCAGCTAAGCTGGTCCATCTCATGATATAAATTACATAAATATCTTATGGAAATGTATATATGCATATATATTTATGAAGTTAGGGAGGGAACATTGGGTGGTCTTTAGGAGGAGCTGGAGCAGGGAACATTAGGAGGGAATGACCAATGTTGTGTGCATGCATGAAATTCTGAAAAGAACAACTATATATATCTCAATCCTGGAGTGTTGGGGTATGCTTGAGACCCCAGGACTTACCAGGCTCGGGCAAGACTACCATGCGTTTGAGGCCAGCCTGGACTACATGACAAGCCCTATCTCAATAAGAACACAATAAAGCAGAACACTTGAAAAACAACGTGTGTATTCTTTAGCTATTTCAAATCCTGTTTGGATTCAGGTGAAAGAAAAATGAAAACTTTAAAACTAACATTCAACTTCCATAAAGTAATTTTCCTTCCTGTTTTCAGACCAGTACACAAATCTAGCTTCCAATGCCTTCATTCCCCACTGACTTCTGGTGTTAATACAACTCTGTACTTTTCTAAATAATTTAACTCACTAGTGTTTTATGTGAATTAGTCCTGTTGCCCCAGGTCGTGTATTTTTTTTTTTTTTTTGGTTTTTCGAGACAGGGTTTCTCTGTGGTTTTGGAGCCTGTCCTGGAACTAGCTCTTGTAGACCAGGCTGGTCTCGAACTCACAGAGATCCGCCTGCCTCTGCCTCCGAAGTGCTGGGATTAAAGGCGTGCGCCACCACCGCCCGGCCCGTGTATTTTTTTTTTTTAACCACAGGATTGTAGCTTATATTTTCTGAATCTATTTAACTAATACTCTGTCAAGAAACGTTTCTGTAAGTCCCAAGTCCAGGTCTCTGGCGGCCATCTTTGGAGGCCATGTTCCATGCTCACCAAGCCTTGACTCTTCCCCGAGGAGTGTCAAACCAGCCAAAATCTTGACCATTCCACAGTCTATCTAAACTGTTTCCCAAGGAAGTTCCCAAATGGTCCCCTCCCACCTCCACCCTGTGGTCGTGGTTGCAGCTTCCCGGTTCCCCCTTGGTGCCACCCGAGAGAGCAGGAATCCGATTAAAAATCCCATTAAACCTATATATTTTTTAATTTGGCTTGTTGTGATTTGGCTTGATTGTGATTTTTGAGTTGGCAGAGAGCTCATGTTAGGAAAATTCCTAATAGTTTCCTTTTACACTAGAATGTTAACAAATGATTACTTTATTTATTTATTTTTCAGGTGTGTGTGTGGGGGGGGGTGGGGTGAGTTGAGATAGGGCTTCCCTGGGTCCTGGCTGTCACAGAACTCCCTCTGTACACCAAGCTGGCCTTGAACTTGAGATTCACTTGACTCAGCCTCCCTAATGCTAGGATTAAAGGTGTGCTACGCTGTGCCCAACTGTCTTTTTTGTTTGTTTGTTTTTAGTTTTCAAGATAGGGTTTCTCTGTGTAGCTCGGTTGCCCTGTAACTTGCTTTGAAGATCAGGTTGGACTCAAACTCACAGAGATCTACCTGCCTCTGCTTTCAGAAGTGCTGGGTGTACCACCACCACCTGCTGCCTTTTTGTTTTGTTTTGTTTTTTCAAGATAGGGTTTCTCTATATCTTTGGAGCCTGTCCTGGAACTCACTCTTGTAGACCAGGCTGGCCTTGTACTCACAGAGATCTGAAAGCACTAAGAACATCTTATTTAGTTGTACAGAAACCCAATATTGTCAATAATGATCTATGCTTGCTCTCTAATCTTCATACTATTTAGATCATTCAGTTAAAGGGTGCTGTGGTCCATGCCTGTACTTCCAGCACACTGGAGGCTGAAGGTTATACAGTGAGTGCTAGCCCATGCTAGGTAACATAGCAGGTTCCGTCTCACAAACAAGAGCACACACATTTAAGGAACCCCTCTACACCGTGTCCTTTCTTTTTTATTTTCTTTCTTTGAGACAGGTTTTCGCTTTGTAGACCAGACTGGCCTTCTGAGTGTTGGGAGTACAGGCCTACAGCACCACATCCCGCTAGTGTTCTTCTACAGGACGTCCACCCTCATAATAATAATGTTACAGTGCAGGGCTAACTTCTGTAATAACTTGGGGGATGACTTCATATTTCTCCAATAGGTTTTGTCTGCAGCAAAAACGTGGGTGACTCAGGACAGGTCCATACCCAGAAGATCATAATGTGGCTGCTAACTAAGGAGTGGAAAGTCCACGGTTTTGGCAACCCTATTATTTCTGAGCAAATGACCTTTGGCCCCTGAACCATAGTGCCAATTAACTATCCCAGCATGGGAAGAGGCAGGTTGCAAGCTCACAGGCACAGTCGCGGACTACAAAACCCAGCATGCAATGCAACACCGACGAGTCCGTGAGCACTGACGTCTAACTCTTCGCGCCTTATTCTGTGGCTAGGGTTGCTGTCAGAAGGGAGTGTTTACTCCTTTTCCCCACGGAACTGTGTCTTTCCGGGGTCCGAGATGGACAAAGTTTGTGCGGTTTTCGGAGGCTCCAGGGGGATCGGCAGGGCTGTAGCCCAGCTAATGGCACAGAAGGGCTACCGTCTGGCGATCGTCGCCAGAAACCTGGAAGTGGCCAAAGCCGCCGCAGGCGAGCTCGGCGGTAGGTACCTGCAGAAGTGCCCCCTCTGCGCGGCCGCGGTGCCAGCCGTCGAGCCTGAGTCCACGAGCTCCCGGTCACTGGCCCTGTAGGTCAGTCTGCGCCCAAGATCGCTCGTGACCCATGACCAAGTCCTCAGTGGGGCTCTCGCCCACCCCAGGCAGATCTCTAGGACCCCTGAGAAGTAGCTATCTCCCCATGGCCAGTACGGACATTTGATAGCCGCCTTGCTCGGACCTCTGGTAGGAGAGAACCGTCCTTGGTGAAGTCAGGGAGGTCAGGCTGCCGGGTAGAGACGGCTAGATTGCATTTTCCAGAGAGCTCTTCTTGCCCTACACGAAGGCACACAACAGTATTTCAAAGAGAAACCTGACTAGCAGCCCGTCGATAGATCAGGGTTGCTTTCCCAAGTTGACCAAACACTTTAATAAGTTATTAATTTGTTTCGTCAGATCCTTTTAAATGCATTCCAATTCCAGCCCCCCCCCCCCCCCCCGGTTATTAATAGCCATTCAGTTGCGAGTTTAAGTCTCGATGATTGTGAGAAGACAACATGGAAGACAGTGGTGTTAGTAGAATGGAGAAAAATACATGTCCCTATCAGGAAAGCATTGGGTATTACAGGCTTGAAGGTGTAGCCAGTGCCTGCTATATTTATGTACTTATATGAAAACAGTCTTGATAATGTAACTCAGACTGGCTTTGAACTTGGGATTCTTGTGCCTCAGTTGCCCCATTGTTGAGATGACCTTACTTTACTGTGATATCTTTAGTACAAAGCAGACTTTGACCCTGCTCCAGCCTTCCCTGCTTCCTCTGACACTGGGTCTCACTATGCAGTCTAGGCTTCCCTTGGATCCAGATCTGGCCTCTGCCTCCTCAGTGCTGGGAACACAGACGGGCACCATGTGCTAGCCGGTCATCCTGGGTGTGAACACAAGCTTCAGCACCCAGTCAGCCGTCCTTCCAGTTTTCTAGACAACTGTTACTCCGTGTGCTTCCTTTGGGATCTCCTCCATGTGTCTTGGCTACCCAGGAAGGTGTACCCCTATCATAAACTAAGGGGCATGTGTGTTAACATGGTAACCTGTTAAATAGAAAATACTTTTCCTTTGATGTATAATTGCTTGTGTATGGTAATAGGGATCAAACTCAGAGCTCTACTGAGCCACCTCTTCTGCCTAGGCTGGCCATAAACTTACAGCTGCAATCTCCTCTCTCAGTGCTGGGACTACAGGCATGCCCAGATTTTATTGCAGGTTTTAAAATTGCATGTCTTTTATTTAGGTGGGTGGGTATGTATATGCTATGGCACACGTGGGGAAGGCAGAGGACAGTCTGCTCTCTCTTTCCACCATAAGTTCACTTAGCAGGCTTACTGGAAACTACCCTTACCCAGTGAACTTGCTGACCTCAACTATTTTTACTTTTAAACATTCTAAGCTTGCTTCTTCTGAAGCATTTGAGGTCTCACTTACCCAGGATAGCCTTCAACTTGTGGATCCACCAAGTCGCACACCGTGGACAGCCTGGTAGTGCTGTGCTCGGCAAGGAAACCCCAAATTTCCAGTTAGTTTTCTGTGATAGTTTATCTCAGGGGCCCACTGTAATCCCAGCATTTGTCGGGCTGAATTCTGAGGCCTGCTGAGGCAGTACAGTAAAACCTTGTCTCAGAGTAAAAACAAACACAAGAAGGAAGAAATAAAACCTCATTATTTCTTCTTCACCTCTGCCTACTATGTCCCTTTCCTTAGGTGGTCCATGGACACAGGGATCCACGACATGCCTTCATCTCTAGGCTCAACACGGGCTCACCTTGTAGTCTAATCACATTGCAAAAAGTTAGAAATTCAAGTGGAGATTTACAGGCAATTCTGATTTAACTTTTTTCGTAGGAAACCACTTGGCATTTAGCTGTGATGTTGCTAAAGAGGAGGATGTTCAGCATACGTTTGAAGAGATGGAGAAACATTTGGGTCCAGTCAATTTCCTGGTAAATGCAGCTGGCATTAACAGGTTGGTCAAACATTGAGGTCAATTTCTTATGTCTTTTTAAAACAAGATTTTTCTTACCGGGCCATGTCTTGGTTACTTTTCCACTGCTGTGACAAAATACCATGACCAAGGCGATGGAGTGTTACACTGAGGTATGGTTTCAGAGGGTTGGAGTCATGTTGACGGAGTGAAGCCATGGTGGCGCAAGGTTGCAGACTCCTGTCTTGACCTGTGTATAGGAGGCAGAGATGGAGGTACAACGGAAACAGGCCAGCACTTAGCTAGAAAGCACTGCTTATACTATATCTTAAATCAGGATGGTAATTATGTTTTAACTTGATTTTTAAAAAGATCTTGTTTTGCTATTTTAAAATGTTATGTGTCTGGGACCGTGCACATGGATGCAGTTGCCTGTGGAGGCCTGCAGTGGACGGTGAATACCCGGGGGCTGGAGTTACAGGTGGTTGTGAAGTTCCTGATGTGGGTGCTGGGAACTGAACTCAGCTCTACTGAAAGAGCAGTTGGAGCTCTTAACTCTGAGCCAGTTCTCCAGCCCCTAGACGTGAATGTTTTGTTCTACTCGTTCACGTTATGCTGTTTCCTTCTTGTAGAGATAGTCTCCTAGTGAGAGCAAAAACTGAAGACATGATATCTCAGCTTCACACTAACCTCTTGGGCTCCATGCTGACTTGCAAGGCGGCCATGAAGACGATGATTCAGCAGGGTGGATCCATCGTTAATGTAGGTGAGTTCTTACCTTTGTGGGTTTCTAATTATGGCATATAAATATCAGAGTACTCAATCCACTGATTTACTTGATCAACAGCGAAGTTTATCCTTTTGGTATCTATGGGAAACGTATTTAACCAATGAATGAATGAGACAAATCTCACAGATGTACTTCTCCACAGGAGTCAGCTAGGCGTTAAATGATAACTTACCAAGTATTAAAAATGACGTCTAGATTCAGTGTTCTAAGACTGTATGGCACGGGAGAGACCACAGCTGTGCACATTTAGAAGTCCTGCTGTATATGAATGCTGTACCAATTCTGTCAGCAGTTTCAATTTTCAAGACAAATCAGGCATCCCATTTTCTTTCTTTTCTTTTTCTTTTTTGTCAAACCTATAATGATTGTAAGAGCCCAAGGGCCAGATGATACACTATGAGATTGTGTTTCCTAGAAAAACCAGGATGCTACACACGTGTTACCTCAACAATATGGCTGCCTACACAAGACATGGACAGTGATCTATCAGTAGATGTCTTAGTTAGGGATTCTGTTGCTGTGAAGAGACGCCATGCACATGACAACTCTTATAAGGAAAACACTTAATTGAGGTGGCGGCTTATATAGTTTTAGAGGTTCAGTATATTGTGGTATGGAGCCTGGCCGTGTGCAGGCAGACGTGGTACTGGAGAAGGTGTTGAGAATTCTTATGTCTTTGCTCATAGGCAACAGGAAGTGGTTTGTTTTATTGGGTGTGACTTTAGCATCTATGAGACCTCAAAGCCCACCACTATAGTGTGACACTTCTCCATCAAGGCCACACCTGTTCTAACAAGTACACACCTAATAGTGGCACCCCCCTTGGGGGCCATTTTCTTTCAAAGCACCACAGTAGACATTGTTCAGACAGAAGGGGGAAAACTCAAGGGGTCCTGTCCTACCCCTAAAGAAAGAACTACAGGAAAGTAAGGGCTGCTGAGAACAGAAGAAGTAGCCTTCCCTAAGGGTGAACCCCCTAATTGGTTATCTAGTGCCAAGTGGTCAGGCCTGATACCCTTACATACAAGCAACACTAGAAAACAGCATAAAAACAGCAGGCTTTTTTATGCATTTATGTATATGTAACAATAAAGAGAAGAAGACTCTTAATTTGAGAGACTGTGAGGGCAACTGGGAGGGTTGTATGAAGGAGGAGGTAGAAGTTTTATTTTCAAAAGTTGCAAAGAAATCCAACCTAATTTTTAAAATTAAAAAAAAAACTTGTAGACGTGGAGGCTAAATAATAATTATAATAATTACCTACAGCAATTGCATGGATCACTGATCTCTCTGGTGTCAAGGTTTAAGGAACATTAGCGCTTGGCCTTTCAGCTTGCTGGAATCACAAGGAAGAGGCGTTGTGGGTTGAGGCCTGAAGAGCGGAAAGTCCAGAATGACATGGAATTTGATTTCGGTTTAGTACTTAAGACTTGCAGCAGATCGTCTACTTTTTATTTTTAAGTGAGAAGCAATACCTTAAATGGCTGCACAAGGGTCACAGTGCTCGTTAGATCTCTCTCTTAGGAGGAACGGGTGACCTGTGGCCTTCTGACATGGCCACTTCAGATTCTGGTTTCTTAAGAACCACACTGGCCCAAGACTGCTTGGACCTCACAGGGCAAATCTGTTAAAACACCTACATTTTAGATAAGTTTCAGAAACCTAAATCCTCAGAATCTTAGAATGTTGCTAAGATGAAATGGACATAGTTATTCTATAGAAAAGTACCACAGGAAAGGCTGAACCTGTAGACTTGGTATTTTACAAGTCATTACTTGGACCAGATGAAACCGGAGTGTGGCCTAGGTGCTGGTATGAAAGCTCCTTGTCAGACCTTGCTGCCGTGCCTGGAACTTTACACTTTTTTCTGTTTTTCTTCCCACACCTCTTATCCTGTCCACCACTTTCCTTAACCTGATGGTTTTCTTTCTTCCTGTGCTGCTTAGTTTTCTTCCTCTCTCTACGAAGGAACCACATTTGGTGATGGGCTCGCAACAGCCCAGTTGGTGCAGCACAGAGAGATGGCAGTGGTTCTGTAGATAACTTTTACTATTTTACTGTTCCTCTTCATGCTTAGGGACACATATACCTGTCATTGTTTGCGCGTCTGTGCATTCATAGGCTTGTGTCTGGAGAACAGTGGGAGGTGCCCCACAGTGCAGAAGAAGTCACAGGTCACGTCAGTGTACTCGGAGATGCTCGCACCACTGTGAAACCACCCTGCAGTGGCACCTGGAAGGGGCCACCGTCATCAGGCAATGGTTGACTGTACAATACAAGTAAACATTTTAACCTGGGTTTCTTGAGTATAAAAAAAAGTAGAGAATTCTCTTTTTCTAAAATAATTTCAATTTTGTGTTAGTGTTAGTTTCCTGTTTAATTTTTGTATTGTAAGCACAGGCCAGTGGTGCAGAAAATTACTTCCCTACTTCTGTTTTTTTGCATAAACTGTATGTATTTGCATAAATTGATATTTGAATTATAAATTATTTTTACATATTTATTAGACAAGGTCACTGAGTAATCTTTAGTAGGGAGTACAAAGTAAATATAAACAAAATTGTAAAACGTCACTGTTAGGAAGTTCGTATAGTCAGTATTGATTGGCAGTAGTTTAATGTACTGGATTCATTCTTGGAGGTGAAAGTGGATCTTGTTCTTATCTGCAATAGACTCATAAATTAATCAGCCTTTATTTTACATCGTCCGGCTTTAACTCATTTCTGCCTGGGCTTGTTACCTTTCTGTTGCTGTGATAAATACCATGGCCCAGAATACTCACGAAAGAGAGAGTTTATTTTGGCCTATGGTCCCTGAGGGATACAAGTCCATCATGGTGGGGAGGCAAGAGGCAGGCATGATGGCAGAAGCAGGAAGCAGAGAGGTGATAACATCTCAACCACAAGCATGAAGTAGAGCAGGAATTAAAGTAGGGTGAAGCTACATACTCCTAAATCCCGTCCCTCCCCCGATGACACACTTCCAGTAAGGCCACACCTCCGAAACTCCCTGAACAGCAGCACCAGCTGGGGCCAGGTGTTCAAATGCCCTGGCCTAGAGCACTTTTCTCATTCATGCTATCAGCCTGCCCTCCCAGCATCCTTATTTAACCTCTTCCACCCTTTCACGTACAGAACAGATCATGTAAGCCCACTTCCCTGTCCCTGGTGGTTTGGCATCATTTTCTTTCCATTCCTCTTTGCCGTGTGTGTCACGGTCAGGTTGACCCCTTTACCTGTTACTTGTGGAAGGACAGACAGAGTTACTCATTTTAGCAAAGAACGGAGGAAGGCGGGTTTCCCTTTCCGTCTGTGGACTATGCATTACGTGAATTTTCAAAGTGCAAAGCAGTTGGTTTATACTCACTTCATTTCCTCTCTTCTCGCAGGGAGTGTTATTGGTTTCAAAGGCAATGTGGGCCAGTCCGTGTACAGCGCCACCAAAGGAGGGCTCATTGGGTTTTCACGCTCGCTTGCTAAAGAGGTTGCACGGAAGAAAGTCAGAGTAAATGTGGTTGCACCAGGTCAGTAAAGACTCTACAATAACTGTAACATGGTTGATGAACAAATTAGTCGTCATTAATTGACATTTGGGTAGTGTCTCTCTAAAATCACTGTGGAAAGAGATAATAAGCTAGCGACTAAAGATGTTTTCCTCATGTTTTACATAAGATTCTTTACTTTTAAATTCTGCACAAGCTAAGAAATACGTTATGGTAAGAGAACCTTGGAGAGCATCTTGTGTTTTGATACAAGGACTTCACTATACTCTCTAATACTGGGATTGTAGGCTTGCTCTACCACACCAGGCTTATTCCAGCCACACTGACAATTTAGAAAATTGTCACCAGGGGTTCAACATAATCTACCTAAAGCTACCTGGCTGTTTCATGGAGAGCTGAAAGATAATGCCCCCAAGGTTTCCTTTAGAATTATAATATTTATGTCTTTTTATCCTTCTGCTACAGTCTCCTCTTAATGATCTGGGATTCTCCAGTGTCTTATTATGTTTTTATTTACTTATTATCCCCCTTTTGTTTATTTATACATTATTTGTCATTTGCTAATAAAAATATGCCATAATTCAGATCTATGTGTCACTGCTAAGATAGTGTAAGATCTTTGTCTTACAATTTTAATTACTTAAGAGGTTTACTACTGTAGACCTCCGCCACTTTTCGCTTTTAACTCCCTCACGGCTCCAGCTTGGACCTAAGAATTGGCACTAATATTGAGCCAGCGGGTGTTTTTCAGGATGTTCTGTGAACCTGTTTTCTGCCTCGCACACTTTTATTCCAGTTCACTGTTCAGTCACAGACTAGCTAAGTCCAGACAGTCCAAATCCACGCGCACTTAGAAAGTTATTGCAGCTTGGATGTGTCGTCTATGAAGGAGAAGGGGCTCTGAACAAAAGCTATCCATGGAAAGCTGCATTGCTACTATGTAGGCCTGGCTCTCTGCCTCCGTATGCTTTGTGCAGGCTGCCTCTGTCAGTGCTGGCTGAGCTAGCCGTCTACTACCATTACAGGTGGTGATTCGTGTGTGGAGCACCACGATTTCTCCCTCTCTCTCTGGGGCTGCAGTGGTATGAGTAATGAGGAGTTAATTCTATTTTCTGGTGCTGTAAATGCTCACTGGCTAGGAGGAACGTCCTTTCCAATTCACACAGACTCATGCAGTGGATGTCCTGGGTGGCTTCCTCTGGGCCAGGGATGTCCTAGGTCCAGGAGTAGCAAAAATGAATATTTCTGCTGCAGGATGCGGAGTGCAGCTGGAAAGACAGAAATGAACAAATCACTGCAATGTCCAGTGCTGAAGGTAGAATAGATGTGTACCACACTGGGGAGATGCTGAAGAATGGCTGTTGTGGATTAGTTGTCAAGGCAATGGGATGAATGGTGGAAATCCAGCTTGTATACAAAGAAGAAATTTTAAGACTGTTATGGAAGTGTCTTAGAGAAGATCTTATTTTTCCAGTGCAATTCATATTGGGGATAGAATCTATTGCTAAAATGTGCCCACTTAGTAGGGTAGCCTTTGTAATATTACATTGTGTATGTGTGTGTGTGTGTGTGTGTGTGTGCTTGTGCATAGCTTAGATTGAAATAAGATTTAATCAATTCTATAGATTATTTATTGACTTAATTTTGATATTAAGTATATGCACAGACTTCTCTTTCATTTCCCAGCTGCCCAGACCCGAATAATCACACAGAAACTATATTAATTACAACACTGTTTGGCTAATGACTCAGGCATTTTTCTAACTAGCTCTTACATCTTGAATTAACCCATTTCTATTAATCTGTGTGTTGCCACGAGGCTGTGGCTTACTGGTAAAGGTTCTGAGCATCTTTCTCCTTCAGCAGCTACATGGTGTCTCTCTGACTATGCCCTCTCTCTTTCTCTCTCTCTTTCATCCTGGCTATATTATGCCCTGCCATAGACCAAAGCAGCTTTATTTATTAACCAATAAAAGCAACACATATACAGAAGAGCATCACACATCAATTAAGATATGTCAGCATCTTCACTAGATCTCTAAACAGAGCTAACAAACGTGTACTTGTATACTTACCCATGCACTCATGTGTGGAGGCCAATCAATCAGTTCTCCACTATATTTTTTGAGACAGGATCTCTCCCTGAACCTGAAGCTCATTGTTTAAGCTTACTGAGACTGTGATCTGTTTGTCTTCCCAGTGCTGGTCCTTCGTGTTGCCATGCCTGGCTGTGATGTGGATACAGGGTTCCAGACTGAGGGCTTTATGCTAGTAAGGAGCCTCTTTCTTCACCAAGCCGTCTTCCTAGCCCTCAGACCTCTAGTTTGTTTCTTTTTATGTCGTTTACTTCAAGTGGAGGTTCCATAGGAAAACAGTTGAAAAACAAATGTAGCAGGAAAACCAGGGAACAAGGCGAATAATGACTGCCACTCTGTGCTAAATCTGACTGTTCTTTAAAGGTCTTGTTCTACACTTTGGTCTTTACTGCTTGGCTTATAAAGTAAAGTTGTTATCATAGGTGAATCTTGTTAATTGGAAATCAATAATTTATATTAGATGTACTATTTGATAGATTGACTATAGTCAATTACTACTCAATATGAATCAATGAAATGTACTTTCTTCTGAGATTATAAAATATAAGTTCTCACTGGACAAGAACTATATGCTTGCTTTTAGAAGCCAGAGTATCCCAGACTCTAAACAGTTCATATTTTAAAAGTGGGCTTTGAGATGTGGCTGGAGCTTTTGCCCAGCATGCACTGGGCCCTGAGTGTGACCCCAGACACAGCCCTCCCACCCCCTTGCTGGATGCTGGGTGTGTCATTGTATGTCCGGTAGTGAAGTGTTGTGTCTTTGTCCTAGAATGCATGTCACTTCAGTCACTGTTTCTTGATCTGAGGGATGGCGGCTTTGTCACCAGCTGGGCGATCAGTGTTCAGTGAAGCACTGCAGCAGCACCCTCTGCTGGACAGTGCCATCTGCTGGTGGTTTACGGGTTTTGTAGCCATTTAAGTCTGTGAACACATGGGACAAAGGTGGGGAGTTCCAGAGCCTTTACAAATATGAATGATATGGGGACAGTCTTTTGGGGCTCTGGAAAGTAAGACAACATAATGATAAATGAATGGGATGTTCAGGAGCCACTGATACCTCCTCTCAGCTCTGTGATATATGGGGTCCGTATCTGAGAGTAATTGTAGGTAGTGTTTGGGCTGTGAATTTATGTCTATGGGAGACATGGTTCAAGAGCATTGGCACAGGATAACATTGACATTTGGGACAGTCCAAATGATTTATCGTAAGAGACTAGCCTAGCATTTCTTGTTTCATTTCTGATGACCTGGAGCAGGTATATGAAGTCTGAAGAGCTGCAGGTAGGTGGGTCAGAGTAGCCATTGTGCTCGGTACTGTCATGGTGATGACGTGGCAGTAGCATTTGCTAACGTCTGTTCCTCAGCTGAAGGGTGACCCTCCCTGTATTCTGCAGATTTTTCCTAGTAATGTGTCATTAGTTGTAGCGCATAAACCACACTAAGGTAAGATACTAACAGTAGGGAAATGAAGGGAACACAGGGTGAGGGCAGTGTGGTCAGCACTGGAGCCTTTGTGTAATAGTTCTGTGCACCTAAAGTGCACTAAGATAAAGTCTACTAACTAAAAGGACACCGTGGAGAGAAGAGAAGGGTCCCTAGGAGTATCGTTCATTGTCACATTGCGCACAACCCGAGAGGAAAAACTGGTATGTCGGGGCAAATTCTTCCCTCCCTTAAGCAAACAAAAGAAAGCGTTTCTTATTTAGTCCACATGTGCCCTGGAGGCGGCAGAGGACAGCGTCAGGGGTCTGTTCTTTCCACCTTTGGATCCGGGGATTGAGCTCAGGTCATCAGACTTTTGCAGCAAGTGCCTTTATGCACTGAGCCATCTCACAAGCCCTTCCCTTTCTTCACACCCTTGTTACGTTTAGACTTTATTGCAGTTCAGCGATGGCCAACAGCTCTCTCTGAGATGTTTCGCTCCTGGTATGTGTCCATAGGTCTGCAGAGAGGCTGTGGACAGTCCCCCTGACAACTGATACCCTTATTTTCCAAGCAGGAACTGTGGAGGAGACCCCCTTTATGTTTCAAATGACCACACACCTATTTGTGTGTAAGAAATTATGTAAGAAATGAGGGCTTTTTTTTTTCTCAGTTTTTTACCTTCTAGTCATGATGACTGCTTATTCAAAAGCCAGCCATGCACGGCCAGAGGAGCCCTCAGGGGACCTGCCATCTTTGATTGGTTTGTTCCTCCTGTGTCCGTGCACAGCTTCCTTCTCTCAGAGCTGTGTAGCATCACAGAGCAGGGGACAGAACCTTGATTTTTGAACCTGAATCCAGTGGTGTCCTCTCCACAGGAAATCCCACCAGAACCAGCTGGGAGTCGGCCTGAAAGTTGCTAGCCTATACTGACAAAAGTGTCCCTAAACCATGGCTACTGTAATTTCTTGTGGCTTATTTTTGCTTGCTTTTTAGATTAAACTGCATCATTTTTCTGCTGAGTTTACTAAGTTAGTATAAAACACTTTGTGCCAATTTTGTTAGAATTTTAGAGTAAAAGACAATTGAATCATGAATTCTTTGCATCCCAAAGAGATTTTCCTTTTTTAATTTAAAAATATGAGGACTACAGAGAACTCAAGAACAATGGCAATGGGTTTCTGACCCTACTGCACATACTGGCTTTGTGGGAGCCTAGGCAGTTTGGATGCTCACCTTACTAGACCTAGATGGAGGTGGGTGGTCCTTGGACTTCCCACAGGTCTTTGGGCTGACGAGGGAGGGGGACTTGATTGGGGGAGGGGGAGCGAAATGGGAGGCGGTGGCGGGGAAGAGACAGAAATCTTTAATAAATAAATAAAGAAAGAAAAAAGAAAAAAATGTTGAGATTATTCATGAATCAGTATTTCTGTCATTTGCACTCCCCTCTCCACTCCAGCTCCTCTTGCTTCTCTCCCATCCCCCTCTTGCGTTCACGATCTCGTCTTCAGTTGTTATTGTTACACAGATACTGGTGTGCTGCTTCGTCCTTTCAGTGTGCTTTCTGTGTGCATGTGTTTCGGGCTGACTGCCTGGGATCGGCTAGCCTACTGGGGGCTCATCCTTCGAGGCAATTGAACCTCCTTTTGTCAGCAGCATTAATTGGCTGCAGCTCTTCATCTCGGGGTCAGGCCTCATGAGATTTCCCTTCCATGCTGCCGTGTCAGCTGACACTGCCATTGTGCAGGTCTTGTTTAGGTGACAATATTGTTGAGATTTCATGGGTTCAGCCTCCCTGTCATATGCAGGGAAAACCTATTTCATAGCAGACATCCTGGTCCACTGACTTACAGTCTTCCCGCCCCTCTTCTGCAATGTCCCCTGAGCCTTAGTGAGGGATAGTAACACGAAGTTTTTAGCATTAACATTAGTGATTTTATTTCACTCAATTTTTATAATCTGAGGTGATTGTAGGGTTCATTTTCTCTACAGCACCCTTGAAAAGAAGCAGGCTAACACAGCATTGGATCTCAGTAACTCTTGGGTTCTTGAGAGAATTGGATTCTGCTGGATTCTGGCTCCTTACCGAAGAACTAACTTCCACCTTTGGGCCACATGTGGTGGCCCACTCCCAGCACTCAGGAGGCAGAGGCAGGCGGGTCTCTGTGAGTCTGAGACGAGCCTCGATGACAGGAGTTCCAGGACAGCCAGGGCTACACAGTGAGACCCTGTCTCAAAACAGCACGTTTGCTCGTCATTTGGAAGTCCGCAGAGGCTGTCTCTCTGTCTGTGCCAGCCGCTGCCTTCATCCTTTCCTCCCCGTGCTGTGCTTGAAGATGAAAGGAAATGCCGCTGAGTTCTCAAATAAATGTGCTGAGATTTCATTGTAGAGGAGGTTGTGTTTCACGGTATAGTCTCACAGGCAAACACAAGTAATACAGCATCCGTGTTGTTATTTCTGGCCTTCATTATAGGCCATCTGTAACTCATAATGTTCATATTTTTTCAATAATTCTATCTGGGTGCAGAGATTTTATATATATCTGTGTGGACAGCTTAAAAGGAAAAGTACAAAGAAAATCATGATCGGGTGTACAATTCTAGTAACCACGTCACTTTGATGTCCAGCGGTGATCAGATGATAATGTTAGCGTTTTGGCATGTATGTTTCACCTTGTTTATACATGCAATTCATGTGTAGCCTACTTTTAAGATTACAGATGTGGATCTTCATTTATGTCATTGGTACCAACATTATTTTATGCTGTAGATGTTGTCAGCTGGCTCCCTGTTGAAATACCTCTCAATTTGTTTCCAGATTTCATGAGTCACCTCTCACTGTCTTAGATTTTATGAGAGAGAGAAAAAGCTACAATTGTTTCTCACAGGACTTTAAAGAAAACATTTAAGTTTTCATGAGTGAAAACTCAAAGTAAACTTAATCACCTAGTATTACACAATAAACTAGCAGAAGATTCCAGTATTTAGCTCAGTTATCAACATATCACTTGTAAATGATAGTATATTAAAGTTGATTTATAATCTAATTTATTTAGCTTTAACGTAAGTCAATTTGAAAACTTTTGTGTGTGTGTGTGAGTGTGTGTGAGTGTACGGTGAATTTTCACTTCCTATGGCTCGTCTGGCAGTTCGTACACTTTTGTCACCCTGAACTTTTACCTGGTGCTCTCATGAAGATTAGTATTTGCTTTATCTTTCTTTTCTTTTTTCTTTTTTTCTTTCTTTCTTCCTGCCTTCCTTCCCTCCCTCCCTGCCTCCCTCCTTTCTTTCTTTCTTTCTTTCTTTCTTTCTTTCTTTCTTTCAAAACCTAGTGATTGAAGTTGGGCATGGTGGCATACACCTTCAGTCCTAGCACTCAAAAAAAGGCAGGGGCCAGTGGATTTATGTGAGTTTTAGGCTAGCCTGATCTACCTGGTGAGACCATGTCTCAATTTTTTTCTAGTATTAGTGAACAAAATACTATGTGTTAACATTTTATTGGTGATCTATGTATATCTTATAGGAATCTCTTAAGGCAGTGCTTCTTAACCTTCCTGATGCTGCCACCCTTTAATACAGTTCCTCTTGCTGTGGGGACCCCAACCATAAAGTTACTCCATTGCTACTTCATAACTGTAATTTTGCTACTATTATGAATTATAATGTAAAAATCTGATATACAGAGTATCTGATATGCAACCCCTACAAAAATGTCATTTAACCTCCAAAGGGGTTGCTACCCAAAGATTGAGAACCACTGTCTTTTTAAAAATAATTATTTATTTTAAAAAAGATTTTTTTCTCATTTTACATACCAATCCAAGTTCCCATTCCCTCCACTCCTTCTGCTCCCTCCACCTCATCGCCCATTCCACTCCCATCCACTCATTAGAGAGGGTAAGTCTTCCCATGGAAAGTCACCAAAGTTTACACATTGCTTTGAGTAAGGACCAAGGACCTCCCCATTATTTCTAGGTTGAGCAAGGTGTACCTCCAAAGAGAATGGGTTCCAAAGCCAGAACCAGCAGTGGGAATAAATCCTGGTTCTGCTGCCAATGGCCCCATGGTCTGCCCCAGCCATACAACTGTCACCCACATTCAGAGGGCCTGGTTTGGTCCTATACTGGTTCCGCCACTGTCAGGCAAGAGTTGGTGAGCTCCCATTAGCTCAGGTACACTGTTTCAGTGTATGTCCCTATCATGATCTTGACCCCTTTGCTCATATTCTCACTTTTTCCTCTCTTCGACTGGACTTTGGAAGCTCAGCCCGGTGCTCTGCTGTGGATCTCTGCATCTGTTTCCATCAGTTGCTGGATGAAGGTTCTATGATGACATTTAAGATATTCATCAATCTGACTACAGGGCAAGGCCAGGCACCCTCTCCACTATTGCTTAGGGTCCTAGCTGGGGTCATCCTTGTGGATTCCTGGGACTTTTTTCTAGTGTTAGGTTTCTTCCTAACCCCATAATGGCTCCCTCAATCAAGATATCTCTTTCCTTGCTCTCCCTCTCTGTTCTTCCCCCATCTAGACCATCCCATTCCCTTAAGCCTCATCCCCCCTCCCTTTTTCCCTTTCTCCTCCCTTTTTGTCCTCCCTTTTCCCCCACTTCCACGCTCCCAATTTTCTCAGGGGATCTTGTCTATTTCCCCTTCCCAGGGGAATCCATGTATGTTTCTCTTAGGGTTTTCCTTGTTACCTAGTTTCTCTGGGTTTGTGGACTGTAGGCTGGTTATCCTTTGCTTATCTAATATCCACTTAGGAGTGAGTATATGCCTTGCTCGTCTGAGAACCACTGTCTTAAACCTGTAGTTGATCCTGGTGTGTGTGTGTATATATTCATACATACAACCATTGTGAATCACTGAATATATAATATTTCACTCTGCAGAACTTGCTCTCTGCATACTCCATTGCATATATACCAATATTGAGTTAAAAATTTCATCTTTTGCATACATTTTTTAAATCAGGATTAGATATGACCATAAGACTTTTTTCTTATATGGACTTTGGAATCCCAGGCTATCCTGTCATCAATTACCTTGGTTTAGTAAATGGAATGGATTAATTCTTATTAGGATTGCAAAATCAGTTCATAGGACCATTTTTGTGACACCGTCTCTCAACACTGTTTCTCACTTTCTCCCCCACCTATGTGGAAGTCATTTTTGTAGCATTTTATTTATAGCATTATAAGGGGAGTCACCAGACTGTATTGCTGGGTATGCAGCAGTTACTCCCTCTCCCATAGATTATGGTTGCTGCATTTCACTCGTGTTTGTATCTGCCTGTTACATTCCACAGTGTTATCTTCATGTTTGCCAAGACTTGAGTCATGGACTTGGGAGTTAGGCATTTTTTTTTTGTGTTCAGTAACTGTTTGCTGAGTTAAAGTGAATAAAACTGTACACATAATTAATTGCTAACAATATTCTGCATTTCCTAAACAATGTTTATTAATAATGTCAAATTCTCTTTATAAAAGATGGACAGCCTTCTTTAGTGTCCGTACTCTCAACTGAATTTACATTTCTATTTCAGGATTTATTCACACAGATATGACAAAACACTTGAAAGAAGAACATTTCACGAAAAATATCCTTCTCGGGAGGTTTGGAGACGCTCTTGACGTGGCTCATGCGGTTGTGTTTCTCCTAGAGTCCCCATACATCACAGGACACGTTCTGGTTGTGGATGGAGGATTACAGCTCACCATCTAATCAGAGATGATTCTGTTGTGATGGCTGTTGATTGGGGTCAAGTGCACATTTTTTTTATTAATTAGGCAATCATATCTATATGGGTGACATTTGATACTAAAATGGTTCTATCTTTATATGAACATGTTTCAAAAGAACAATGTGTGACCAGTTGTAGTCTAAAAGGTATGAATTCTCTATTTTTAGAGGCCATAGAAATTTTAGTACATAAACGTCTTGTAATGCGTCAGTATTAATCTATGTATCTTTGCCTTAAAAATAGGAGATTCTGTTGTGATACAGTTTAATTGTATCTGCTGGGTTTCTAAGACACCAATGTTGTGCTATTGCTAAATAAGAGTATTTGCAGAAGATTGAGACCAATTTTTTATTATTTACTTTTTGTTGCTGTGGTAAAACATCATGACCAAAAGCAACTTCTCAGAGAACGGGTCTCTTGATGCTTATGGTTCCAGAGAGATGGAGTCCATCATGGCAGGGAAGGCTGGCAGCAGTCAGGGAAAGCATGGTGGTCGGAGCAGGAAGCTAGCTGATCACATTTCATCCATACACAGGAAGCAGAGGGGGAACAGGAAGTGGAGCCAGGCTGTAAAATCTCAAAGCTTACCCCCGAGTGACTTACTTTCTCCAGCAAGACTGCATTTCCTACAGGTTCCATAACTTCCCCTAACAGTGCCACCAATAAGGAACTGAGTGTTCAGACATGAACCCCTACGGACATCACATTCAGACCAGCACAGTACTGAGAAGCCTTGCTAAGGCTCACCTTTTATGTTGTATGGTGCATTTTGAGGCAGGATATCACAATGTGAGCTTCTTCCTCGGCTTGGGAAGCATTGGTTTTATTGGAGACCAGTTTTTGCTGGAGAGTAGAGATGAATACATACAGCTGAATGCAATAGAGATAGCATTCCTTCTGCCTTGAACTCTTGTGGGCAATAAAGAACTATTTTTATATACTAGGTTCATGTTGATTTTTTTATTTACCATCTTCTAAATATTTTTAATATTTTATTTTAAAAAGTAATGTTTTTTACCAAGGTGCTCATAAACTCAGATACTTGGTCAGCTGAGGCAAGGACATAACACGTTTAAGGACATGCTAGGTTACATAATTCAAGGTCTGGGTGTGTGGTAAAGCACTTGCCCAGTAGAAGCAAGATCCCAGGTTCAATCCTTAGTGCTTCAGACTAGAACAGAACCAAATCCAGGAATCCAGGAGTTATCTAATTGCTGTTTTCAAGTGGAACATTGTCTAAATGGATTTTTGATTATATATATAGTCAAATAAAAACATGAATAAGATGTACTAATAAATTCAGAATAATAGTGCTAAATAATAGTACTAAATAATTCAGAATAAATCAAAAGCTGTGTACTAAATATGGAGTCCTTTATCCCTGACATACTTTCTTTACTTAGTTTATTAGCATTCAGTTTTTTCCGTCCTGGGGCTTAAACCTTGGGCTTTGGGCCTGCCTACTAAGTTAGTGCTCTACCCATTGGTTACATCCACAGCCTCTGGTTTAGGAGAACATCTGATGTGAGTGCAGTTAGTACTACTGAAGAAACAGCCTGCTAAATGCAAGGTGGAACAGTTGGAGGACTGTTAGGTAGCAGCATTTCTAGGCATGTTAGGTAATGCGACATGCAGGATGTCTCCCAGGTGGTGCCCATGGTAGGAGGCTTTGTGCATACAGAGTGGGTAGCTTCCTTATGCTCTGTCCCGTGTGCCTTTGTGCATACAGAGTGGGCAGCTTCCTTATGCTCTGTCCCATGTGCCTTTGTGCATACAGAGTGGGCAGCTTCCTTATGCTCTGTCCCGTGTGTCTTTGGCCACCTATACCTGTACAGGCCTCAGTTCCCTTGGCTGGACACACCGTGTTCTGAAGTCTTCGGTGAAGCTGGTTTGTCGTGTAAACAAGAGGAAAGCAATGAGGAAGAAGCCGATTATGGTGACACTCACCTGGATATGGTGACACTCACCTGGATATGGGGACACTCACCTGGATATGGGGACACTCTCCTGGATATGGTGACACTCGCCTGGATAGGGGGACGCTCGCCTGGATAGGGGGACGCTCGCCTGGATATGGGGACACTCATACATGGGGTAGGGATCAAGGTTGTTATTAGCTACATAGTGAGCTTTAGACTAGCGTGGGCTATGTGAGCAAAATCCAAAAACAGCATTGAAAACTAGGTTACCAATAGGCTTACCCTTGAGTGTATGTTTGCTCTTTAAAATAAGCTACTCCTCCCTTCTGTGTCATACTGAAATATGTGGAGAGATGTGGAAAAGGGGACATAAATCATCATGGCTCCGCTCCTGGAGAACTCTCCTCTTGTTCTCACTGACTTGGTAGAAATTTCAGCTGAACACTTGAATTCCGAGGCCCAGGAACTTCAGTGAATTCTTGGGCTGACGACTCAGCTCCGGCTGTTTTCCTCCTCCCCGCAGCTCATGGTCCAGCCCATGCTGAACATTTGAAGGAAAAGGTTGGTGGCCAGAGCCAACGTTTTCAGTTTTCATGCTCAGTTTTAAAATGTGTGTTTTTTTCATATTTTTATTCATATTTTATTTATGAGGGGTTGTGTAAGCTTTTTACAGATAGAATTGTATGTTGCAAATTAGTTTAGGGGAATAATTTATGCAGTAAAGCTAAGTTGATCTACACTCATCTCTTACCCAGAATAATGAGGGAAGACAAACTGCTTTGGGTATTCAAGAGTTGATGCCTATTGTACTGGAGCATTTTCCCCAAGCTTTGTGAATCAGAAAAAGTGTGAATTATTAAATTATTCTACTGTCCTGCTTGACAAACATTCCTAAATAAAGTATTTAATAGCTGACATTTATGTTAATTTTTGTCTTTCAACTACATTATAGGATCCAAGAGCAAAGTACATGCTGCGTCTTCATTTGTTATGCAATTAAAATTCCTGCACTTTCCTGATAGCTCTATCTTGCTGTTCTGTACAGTGCACCCCAGGTATACACATGTCTTAAGTTTGAATAATTACCTCTAATGTAACTTGGAATTCTTGGACCAGTAATCTAAATAGGATGCTCTCAGTACTGTGTGTGTGACCAAGCCTGTCCGTTTACTTAATGAATTGATAAGGTCCCAGTGAATTGAGGACAGACGGTTGGGGCAAGGAATTTTGATTCGGCAAACCAGCAGGACTTAGAAGATGACGACTAGGATTCCCGTAGCCCATCTCAACGCTAGTTCTCAGGTCCTTTTACCTTGAGCACTGGGGTGAAGGGAGTTTTGGATAAGTTTATCTTCTCGCTATCACTATTCCACCCATTGTTGCAGGGAAAGGGGTAGGGATGGTGGCTTCCCTGACACTTCCAGCTGGAGATATGTGAAGGAGAGGTGATTGTGGGATAGATCAGCACAATCTGGAGAATACTGGCCGATCCAAATGCAAGCAAACTCTCAAGTGTGTGGCCAAGACTTTACATACCATAAGAGTGACATAATCCCATTTCTCTCCTTTATCAAATGTCACTTGTACCGTATGATGCTGGGTTTGGGGCTTCCTTTAAAGCTCATTTGTGTTAATTCCCTTAGTATTAGTAATAAATTCATAATGCTTCACAGAGGTGATTGGAAAACTGTATGACATAATCGTCCAACAAAAGCAGCCCTTACCGATCTATCATATGCTTTCTGTGGGGTTGAAGCTATAGGCCAGGTTAAAATTCCATCAGCATTCCCTTGCTATAGAGAACAAAGCCAAAGAGTGATCATCTTTGGGGTGTGGCTCATCCTGCTTCCATAGTGATGTAGTGATCTCATTCCTACTAGCTGCAGCATTTAAACATCCTTCCCGTAGGGCCTGGAAAGAGGATGTAGGAGAGTTACCTGCTCATCATATCAGTGAGTTGGGAGGATAAATTACCATACCAAGTCAAATATTTCTTAAATATTTGACCTCTTTCTCGATGACGGTCTAGGTATCTGATGACCTTGTTGAAATGGGGAAACTGTTGGTTTCAGTGTCACTGATATGTGGTGGCTTCCTGGTTTCACTCTGGCCAATATGAGAAAGGCCTCAAGAAGTACTTGAGGTGATTGGGTCTACTTTGCTGCAAGTTGTTGGACTTCCATTTTTGTTATTTTTTCCGTTAGCATCTCTTAGTGTTGCCCAGGCTGCTCTTGGACTTGAGAAACTCCCGAGTAGCTGGGGAAATTAAAGAAATGTACCAGCCGGGCGATGGTGGCGCACGCCTTTAATCCCAGCACTCGGGAGGCAGAGGCAGGCGGATCTCTGTGAGTTCGAGACCAGCCTGGTCTACAGAGCTAGTTCCAGGACAGGCTCCAAAGCCACAAAGAAACCCTGTCTCAAAAAACCAAAAAAAAAAAAAAAAAGAAAAAGAAAAAAAAAAAGAAATGTACCACAACGAACCCTTCCTCAAGTCTATCTTTGGGGTGCTAACACAGGAGTGTATTTAAAGACAAAACAGAGGATACACACTAAGCAGTGCCCAAGGTTTGCTCCCCTGCCCACCCTTGTTTTAGCGCCAAGTCTGTCCTGCAAGGTCACCTGACAAGTTGTAAAGTTTTTCTCCTGGAGACAAGTTCTTCCTCTGGCTGCCCCTATGCTTTCAGCTATTGTCACAGCAGAATATTCCTGGAGAAATATTAATTTCTTAAAGGTCCATTCTTCCAATAGTCAGGTGTACAAAGAGGGAATTACAAGTGTCTCTTTAGAATGTATTCTTTCTTTCCAGATAAGCCAGTGACATGTCTTTTGCCCCCCTTTCTTCTTTAAAATAATGATTTTATTGTTCTTTGAGAATTTCATAAATATTTTTAACCATTTTCTTTTCCCTCTCCAAAGTACTTCCAGATCTTTCCCTACTTACCCACCCACCCAACTTCTCGTTCTTTCCCCTCTCTTAAAATAAACAAACCATTAATTCTCTTATTTCTCTGTTAGGTTTCTGTCTGATTGACCTGTCCATTGGTGAGAGAGGAGTGTTGAAGTCTCCTACTATTAGTGTGTGCGGTTTGATGGCTGCCTTGAGTTTTAGCAATGTTTCTTTTTATGTACGTGGGTGCTTTTATATTAGGGGCATAGATGTTCAGGATTGAGACTCCATCCTGATGAACTGTTCCTGTTATGAGTATAAAATGCCCCTCTCCATCTCTTCTGATTGATTTAAGTTTGAAGTCAACTTTGTTAGAGATTAGTATGGCCACACCTGCTTGTTTCTTAGGTCCATTTGCTTGATAAGCCTTTTCCCAGCCCTTTACTCTGAGTAGGTGCCTGTCTTTGTGGTTGAGGTGTGTTTCTTGTAAACAGCAGAATGTTGGATCCTGTTTTCGTATCCAATCTCTTAGCCTGTGCCTTTATATAGGTGAGTTGAGTCTATTGACATTAAGTGATATTAATGACCGGTGGTTGTAAACTCCTGTCATTTTTTTAGTCATAGAGTTTGTGTGTTTCCCTTCTTTGATTTGTGTTGATGAAGGGTCTCTAGATGTCTGAGTTATTGTGGTCATTGTTGGACTCCTTGGTTAGAGATTTTCCTTCTATTATTTTCTGTAAGGCTGGATTTGTGGCTACATATTGTTTAAATTTGTTTTTATCCTGGAAAATTTTATTTTCTCCATTTATAGTGAACGAAAGCTTGGCTGGGTATAGTAATCTGGGCTTGCATCCATGGTCTCTCAGTTTCTGCAGTACATCTATCCAGGACCTTCTGGCTTTCATGGTTTCCATGGAGAAGTCAGGTGTAAGTCTGATAGGTTTACCTTTATAAGTAATTTGGCCTTTTTCCTTTGCAGCTCTTAATATTCTTTCCTTATTCTGTATGCTTTGTGTTTTGATAATTATATGGTGAGGGGATGTTTTTTTTTTTTTTTTGATCCAGCCTATTCGGTGTTCTGTATGCTTCTTGAACCTTCATAGGTATATCTTTCTTTAGGTTGGGAAAGTTTTCTTCTATAATTTTATTAAATATATTTTCTGGACCATTGAGCTGCACTTCTTCTCCTTCTTCTACTCCTATTATTCTTAGGTTTGGTCTTTTTATTGTGTCCCATATTTCCTGAATGTTTTGTGATGAGAGTTTGTTGGACTTGCTGTTTTCTTTGATCAGTGTGTTTATTTTCTCTATGGTATCTTCATTATAGAACCTTCATCTGGTGATGGATGGAGATAGAGACAGAGACCTACACTGGAGCACTGGACTGAGCTCCCAAGGTCCCAATGAGGAGCAGAAGGTGGGAGAACATGAGCACAGAAGTCGGGACCACGAGGGGTGCACCCACCCACTGAGACAGTGGGGCTGATCTATTGGGAGCTCACCAAAGCCAGCTGGACTGTGACTGAAAAAGCATGGGATAAAACAAGACTCTCTGAACATGGCAAACAATGAGGGCTGATGAGAAGCCAAGGACAATGGCACGGGGTTTTGATCTTACGTAATGTGCTGGCTTTGTGGGAGCCTAGCCAGTTTGGATGTTCACCTTCCTAGATATGGACGGAGGGGGGAGGACCTAGGACTTACCACAGGGCAGGGAACCCTGACTGCTCTTTGGACTGGAGAGGGAGGGGGAGAGGAGTGGGGGGAGGGGGAGAAGGTTGGGAGGAGGGGGAGGGAAATGGGAGGCTGGGAGGAGGTGGAAACTTGTTTTTTTTTTTCTCCTTTTCTCAATAAAAAAAAAATAAACAAACCAAACTAAATGCCAACAACAATAAAAAACATGGAGTCTGGAGACTAGAGAGATGGCTCAGAGGTTAAGAGCACTGGCTATTCTTCCAGAGGTCCCGAGTTCAATTCCCAAAAACCACATGGTAGATCCTAACCATCTGTAATGAGATCTGGTGCCCTCTTCTGGTCTGAAGAGATACATGTAGTCAGACCACTGTGTACATAATAAAGAAATAAATCTTAAAAAAAAAAATAACAAAAAACATGGAGTCTGGTTTGTGTTGTATGGCTACTTCTGAGCATGGAGCCTGCCATGGAGTGCAGTTGATATATCTAGTGTTAACTGATTTCCTTTTCCCCCAACCTATCAATTATGAATAGCATCTTGGTGAGGGCTTGGCTTCAGTGTCCTTTTCCCCACTTCCGTGCTGGGGTTTTGTCTGGTTTGAGCTTGTGCACGTTATGTGCATGTTGTCAGTCTTGGTGAGTTCAAACGTGCACCTTCCCTGTTGGGTCTAGAAAATATCGTTTCCTAGAAGCCATTCATCACCTCTGGCTCTTGCTCCTTCCTATGCACAGATCCTTGAGCCTTAAGCCAAGAAGTGTGATTGAGACATTCCATTTACAATTTAGCATTCTGCAGTCTTATTTTCTGCATGTTGACCAGTGGTGGGGTTCTGTGTTAAACACCATCTACAGCAAGAAGTAACTTCTGTGATGAGCGTTGAAGAATGCACAGATCTATGGGCACACCAATATGTTATTTGGAACCCTATTGCTGTGTTCATTTAGCATAGTGGTTCTCAACCTTCCTAATGCTGTGTCGCTTTAATACATTTCTTCATATTGTGGTGACTGCCCCAACCATCAAATTATTTTCATTGCTGCTTCATAACTGTAATTTTGCTACTGTTATAAATTGTAATGCAAATATTTTTGCAGATAGAGATTTGCATGGGGTCATGGTTGACAGGTGAAGAGCCACTGATGTAGCTGAGTGTTGTAGTAGGTTTTATCCTGAGGCCCATAATCTCTCTGGCTTTGCTTTGGCTCATTGATGGTGCCATGTATGAGTTCCATTTAACAGAGTGGACCTTAAATCCATTTTAAAAAAAGTGTTTGGTTTCTTCTATGACACTTGTACCACTATTGCATCAATTGCCATACCTTGCAGGCAGTT